AGGTGGTCAGACCGCGGCTCTCAGGCCCAGAGCCGTGTCCGGAGCCACTGCCTCCCGTTCCCGCTGTGTGTGTCAGTCTGTGTGAGGGGCGGTGACGGCTCCGCTGTCCTGTCACAGCCTTTGTGCTTCTTCTCTGCCCCGTTTCCCGCCTTCAGCGGCTCCCACCGGTGTGTGGAGTGTGTGGTGTCGGTGTGCGGTGTGTGTGTGTTTGGCTCCGGGGGGGGGAGCGCGGGCTCTTCTCTGGTTTGCTGCCCAAACTGCTGTCACATGGTGTCGGCGTATGCGCACTTTTCCTGCTGATCCTGGTCTCTGTCTCGAGCTTCCCCTTCTGGCCGCACGTGCGCACTTTGTCCTTTCACTAACCGTCACTCAGCACTCGCTCATGCGTTTTTCTGCCGGGGACCAGACTCGGGAAGGTGCGGATTGACTTCAGGATCCTCACTCTAGTGTTTGGATCCCTCCATTCCTTGGCCCCCCCTTATCTTTCTAACCTTTTCTCTCTCCAAGCAGTACCCGCTGCCTCCACGCTACTGGGTCCAGTCTCCTCCATATCCCCCGAATCCTTTGCTCTACCATCAGCGGTCATGTCTTCAGCCACTACACCCCGAAACTTTGCAACTCCCTCCCTCAACCCCTTCGCCTTGTCCCATCCTTCCCCATGGACGATGCACCTGAAGACCTTACTCTTCTGAGCCTAGGTCAACTTCCCCCTCCTGCTGGCTTGGCCTCGGACTCCGCCATTTTTAAGGGATCTGAGACACCACTCAGCATGGAGGGCACTATATAAATGCAAGTTGTTGTTGCGGAGATGGAAGCTGCTTTGATAACAACTTTCAAGAAAGTAGACAGATATTTGGGCAGGACAAATGTTTAGGGCTATGGGGAGAGAGCGGGCGAGTGGGATTATTTTGGACAGCTCTTTCAAAGAGCCGCAAAGACATGATGAGCCAAATGTGCTTCTGTGCTTTATAATTTTATGATTCTATGAATTTGGACAGCTCTTTCAAAGACATGACATGGGCATAATGGGCCGAATGGCCTCCTTCTGTGCTGTATAATTCTATGATTCTCTGTCCCCTGGTTACCAAGCCACCTGCCAGTGGAAACAGTTTCTCTTTATTTACTCTATCAAAACCCCTCATAATTTTGAACACCTCTATTAAATTTCCCCTCAACCTTCTCTGCTCTAAGGAGAATAATCCCAGCCTCTCTGGTCGCTCCATATAACCCTCATCCCTGGGATCATTTTGGTAAATCTTCTCTGCCCACTTTCCAAGGTTCTCACACCGTTAAATAAATATATCCGAACTAGAGGGTTGGAGGCTGTTCCTACCCGAGACAATTTGACTTTGTCATGATTATTATTGTTTTGCTGTGAACAATGCAGTGAAGTTTCACAGTAGAGCACCACCATCATCGGCAGTAAAGCAGTACTGCAGGTTTATATATTGATTTTATACTGATTTTAATGCAGTGTAACTTTCTGCAAATGATTCTATTCCTCAAATAAAACCACAACATTCATCAGGAGAAATGAGGGAAAAGCCAATCTATTTCTCACCCACAAAATACAGTCAATTCACTTTGCATTATATTCTATGAAGCGCTTTGGGACGTCCTCCCGACGTGAAAAGCGCTATACCAAATGCAAGGATTATTATGAAGCAGTTTGAGACATCTCAATGACGTGATAAGGTGCTATATCAAATGCAACGATTATTATGATTATTATAAAATGGAGTTTAATATTTTTTAAGGAGTTTCAATTATTTTATTTTACTTTTCATATACAAAATGGGCTTCCTAGGATTGAAACATAAAATTATTATTTTAAAAATAATTAAATAATTAAATAAATTAAATTTAATAATTTAAAACAACAATAAAATTACATTTGTATAGCGCCTTTCACATCGGGAGGACGTTCCAAGGCACTGGACAATCAGTGTTTTGGACCTGAGCTGGGGGTTGGGATTAGGGAGGGTGGAGGTTAGGGAGAGGAGAGTGACTGAAGTCATGGTCGAAGAGGAGGCTCTTGAGGCAGCTCTTGAAGGAGGCAAGAGAGTGGGTGAGGTGGGGGGACTGTTGGATGGAGTTCCAAAGGCTGGAGGTAGAGAGGCCAAAGGCCCGCCCACTGATGATATGGTGGGCAAGGTGGACGTGAAGCAGGCCAGTGCCCACTGAGCAGAGGGAGCGAGCAAGATGGTAGAGGGTTAGGAGGTTGCAGAGGTAGGAGGGAGCAAGACTGGAGGGCTTTGAAAGCGAGGACCGGGATCTTGAACTGTATCCTCTGAGTGATGGGAAGCCAGTGGAGTTGTGCAAGGATGAGGTGATAGGGCCGTGGAGCCTGGTGCGGGATAAGACACGGGCTGCAGAGTTCTGGATGATCTGCAGCCTATGGAGGGAGGAGTTGTGGAGGACGACATAGTCATATTTGCATAGTCGAGCCTGGATATTATGAAAGTGTATACATGGGTCTCGGTGGCCTATGGTGTGAGACATTGGCGGAGCCGGGTGATGTTGCGATGGTGAAGGAAGGCAGAGTGGGTTATGGCACGGATATGGGGTAGAAAGGACAGTTGAGGGTCAAACAAGATGCCAAGGTTCTGGACTGGTTTCGTAAGGTGGAGTATGCATCCTCGGATGGTGATGTTGTCAGTGCCTGAAGTATGGAGTTGCTGACGGGAGCCAATCAGGAGGGCCTCGGTCTTGTTGATGTTCAACTGAAGAAAGTTCGCTCTCATCCAGGACTTGATGTCTGACAGACATTCTGTCAGAACAGAAGTGGTCCTGGTGTCAAGGGTGGAGGCAGAGAGGTAGAGTTGGGTGTCATCCGCACGTACGTGGAAGTTGATTCCATGTCTGCGGATCATGTCACCAAGGGGAAATATATTCATAGATTCATAGAATGTTACAGCACAGAAGGAGGCCTTTCGGCCCATCAAGTCTGTGCGGCTCTTTGACAGAGCGTCACTTTCACTAACCCCAATCACCAGCTTTCTCCCCATAACTCTGCAAATCTGTCTTCTCCAGATACCTATCCAGTTCTCTCTTAAAAGCTGTTATCGAATCGGACTTCACTGCCCTTTCGGGCAGATCATTCCAAATTCGAATAACTCGTTGAGTGAAATAATTTCTACTAACCTCTCCTCTGCTTCTTTTGGTAGATATCTTAAGACTGTGACCACGGATTGATTGATGTTGAAGAGGAAGGGACCAAGGACAGAGACCTGAGGAATGCTGCATAAGACGGTGGGGGGCTAGAAGAGAAGCCATTTGTGGAGATGAAGTGGAGACGGTGTGAGAGGTACGATCTGAACCATCCGTGAAAGTTGAGGTGAGAGGAGAGGCAGTGAAGGAGGATAGAATGGCCAACAGTATCGTAGGTAGCAGAGAGATAAAGGAGGATGAGGAAGCACATCTGGCTGCCGCCTTTCGCCCATAAAATATATATGCAATCCACTTTATAATATATTCTGTGAAGCGCTTTGAGACATCTTGAACACGTAATAAGATCTATATCAAATGCAAGGATTATTATTAATGGTATCTTGTGAATTATTGATTAATTGAATAAACAGATAAAATGTATCAAAATGAATATAGTCACCTAAAGCAATCATGAAGGGAAAAGCAAGGAATTATTATTAAAATTAAGACAAACAAGTGACTTTTCTTTAACCTGTAATACCGCATGCTGTATCACAGTGTGGTGTGGTTGTATCACCAATCTGCTGGGTACAAAGTGTTAGTGCAGGTCAACTCATATAATAACAATAATCCTTGCATTTGATATAGTGCTTTTCACATCTTCTCGACCTCTCAAAGCGCTTCACAGAATATACTGTAAAGTGAATTAACTGTATATTTGTGAGTGAACGTGGCAGCCAATTACGCACAGCAGCGTCCCACAAACAGTCACAGATGACCAATTTATTATTGTTTTTGGTTTTGGAGGGATTATTATTAGGTGTGTGGAGTAAGGAAATTTGCCCAAGGTTTCGCCCTGCCTGGAATTGAACTCAGATCTCTCGCTTGCAAAGCGAGTGCTCTAAACACTGAGCTACAGGACTCCACATATCAGTGCTAAAGTGTTGTGTTAGATATCAAAAAGATCACCCAGTATTCCGTTTAGGTAAAATCTGTTAAGCCAAGTTTATTCAAATAAAAATACCATTGAAGCGCGCTTATTTCAGCAGTCAACCATCAACGCCGCTAGACCGAGTGCTGCGAGTCCGGAACAGGGTTCTTTCTAAGTTGCTTCAGTTATTCAGGCTTTCGATCTTCCATCACCGACTGTTGGAGCCATTCCGGACTGCTCTCCACTTCTCTTTTTCGGCTACTTATAGTCAGTCGCCTGACTTGCCACTACATCCCGTATTTACATATCCAATCACTTTGTATTTTACCTCGTCTTATTCGGTGGTTTGTCGACCAACCACCTCGTCCTTCATAGGGCCCCTCTACCCACTTCTGATGCAGTCACGTACTCAGGTTAATCAATCATTTGGCTTGGTGATTCCCCAGCAGTAAATTTCATAATAATAATAAAGGTAATGGCGATTTAATTGGCAGTCACTAAGCAGTCATTGTTTAGGCAGTTTTTACAGAATTTTAGGCAATTTTTATAGAATATTATTTGATAACTAAAGACATTTGTATGATTATTACTTTTTATTTCCCCCACAAAATAACAGTCACTCTACTTTACAGAATATTCTTTGAAGCGCTTTGAGACATCTTGAAGACATGACACAGTGCTACATCAAATGCAAGGATGATTATTATTAGATTCCTGCTTTCATATTATTTTAATCCCCAAGATTTGAAACAAACACATGAAACATTGCTTCATCTGTAGAAATGTGTTTTTAATGCTTCTGGAAGTGGGATAAGAGTCCCTTTGAGTTCAGTCCCCACCAGTCAAAATTTCTTAAAAAGGCACAATCTAAGCCTCATGGTGAGAACAGTCAAAAATCATAGATGGTGGGTGGCAACAGCTAGTCAGGGGGGCAGATCCTCAGAGGCTCAGAGTTTTTCCCCTGATTATTATACCAGGGGCTGAAGAGAGGATAAATTTGCTCAGTGAAAGTGTGGGTGAAAGTGTGGAGATGAGACATGTTATCAGCGTTGTAAAATGACACCCGTCCCCCCTCATAGTCCAGGTAAACGCCAACCATCCCGGGTATCTCTGTCAGAGACAGGCGGGTCCGAGGTGATGTCATAGCATAGTAGACCTCACCCACCAGCCACACCCCCCAGACCCGTCCCTCTGGTAAGTCTGTGATTGCTTGTTTCCTGTCGACAGATTCTCTGGCCACCCCCACAATCCACCCAGTCTTGTTGCCCACCTGCACCTCCCAGTAATGTCTCCCTGATGTGAAGCCCTCAGATCCCAGGACAATGAGAGATTCACTAAACCTCTTTGGAGTGTCAGGGAGCAGCTGCTTTTTCTCTCTGGCTACCACACTGGTCAGGTCCTCAGACAGGATGAGCCGGGGATGGGCTGTGTCAGGATCCAGAGTGATTGTAACTGGAGGGAAAATCAGACCATTAATGTCAGCCACATTTACAATGATAATAATAAGAATAAATAAGATGATTTTCAGCGTCATCACTGGGAGAGAAGCCTTTGTGTAAAACATCAACATCTCTTGGGAACAGAAACCAGCACAAAGGATCACAGTCTATGTGTGTGTATGGTGGGGGGGGGGGGGGAGATGTGAGGGTGTGTCTTGATTGACCCTCAACTGCTTTCTCCCCCACATACGTACCATAACCTGCTCTGCCTTCCCCCACCTCCGCAACAATGCCCGATTCTACCACTGCCTCACCCCTCAAGCTGCCAAAACCCTCAAACATGCCTTCATTATATCCAGGCTTCATTATGCCAACTCCCTGCTTATCAGCCTTCCCAATCCTCCCTCCACAAGTTGCAAATCATCCAGATCTCTGCAGCTCGTGTCCTCCGCTGCACCAGGCTCCGTGATTCCATCAGATGCACCCTCGCCCGACTCCACTGGCTTGCCATCCCTCAGAGGGTCAAGTTCAAGAAGGCCAGGGAGGGACTGCAGGGTGGTGTTCCAATGGTGGGGTGTGTGAGATGGGGTACCTGAAGCAGGCCAGAGCCAGCTGAGCAGAGGGAATGGAGTGAGGAGGTCGCAGAGGCAGGGGGAGCAAGGCCATGGAGGGCTTAGTCTTCGGTTGTGCCTTCAAGGAGGCAAGGGATTGTGGGATGGAATTCCAAAGGGTAAGGGCAGAGAGGCCGCCATGGCCTTCCTCCTACCAACACCTGATCAACCTGATGCCTCTGCTCAGCAGCCCTGCCCTGCTCCACCACTACCTCAGCACCCAGGCCACTGAAACTTTTGTACGCACCTTCACCACCTCCAGGCTCGATTATGCACATGCCCTGCTTGTCGGCCTTCCCAACTCCTCCCTCCACAGTCTGCAGATAATTCAGAACTCTACAACCCATGTCCTCTCCCGCACTAAACTCTGTGACCCCATCTCCCCCACTCTCCCCCGCCTTCATTGGCTCCCTTTCCTTCAGAGGATCCAGTTCAAGATCCTGGTCCTCACCTACAAGCCCTCCATGGTCTCGCCCCACCCTACCTCTGCGACCTCCTAACCCCCTACCAGGCCGCCATTCCCTCCGCTCAGCCGGTTCCGGCCTGCTCCACACCCCCTGAACCACCCACCCCACCATTGGTGGGAGAGCCTTCAGCCACTCTGCCCCCAACATCTGGAATTCCATCCCCCAGTCACTCCGCCTCACCCCCTCCTTAGCCTCCTTCAAGTCCCACCTCAAGACCCTCCTCTTCGACCATGCCATCAGCTACCCCCCTTCCTCTCCCCTCCCTTCTCCGCCCTGACCCCAGTTCGGGTCTGAAATGCTGTACGCTGTCCAGCGCCTTGGGAGATCCTCCCGACGTGAAAGACACTATACAAATATAATCTTGTTGCTTTGCTCCATGTCCCCCGCCTGGCCCAACCCAACATCAGCGATCCAAGCCTTAAGCCTCACTGCTCACACCCAATGAAAGTCCATCCCATATTCCCTTCGCCTCACTCCCTCTTTAGCCTCTTTCAAGGCACACCTCGAAACCCTCCTATACGACTGTGCCCTTGCGTCACCCTCCTACCCCCCACCCTCCCTGTTCCCAATCTCCTCTGGCCCCCACCCCGCTCGGGTCCTAATCAGGTTAGAGCACTCGCCTTGCATGCGAGACACCTGGTTCAATTCCAGGCAGGGGGAAACCTTGGGCAAGTTTCCTTACTCCACACGCCTAATAATAATCCCTCCAAAGCAAAAATAAGATAATAAATTGGTCATTTTCAATCCACGACTGTTCGTGGGACACTGCTGTTCGCAATTGGCTGCCGCGTTTTCCCCACAAATATACGGTCAATTCACTTCAAGGTGCTTTGAGATGTCAAGAAGATGTGAAAAGCCCTTTATCAAATGCAAGGATTATTATTATTAATCCCTTTACAATTGTGGTGCTTTACAAATGTCATTTTGTATTGTGAAGACGTGTGTGGGGGGAGATGTGAGACTGTGCGTGTGTAGGGATGTGACTGGCCATGTCGGGGATAGTGATGTGAGTGGGTATATGGGGGATGGTTGTGTAGGTCTATGTGAGGAGGAATGTGAGGGTGCCTGTTTGTGGGGTGATGTGAGTGGGTTTATTTGGTAGGGGGAATGTGAGGGTGTGTGGGGGGCGGTGTTGTGAGTACGTTTGGGGGATATGAGTGTGTGTAGAGGGAGAATGTGAAGGTAAGTATTTGTTGGGGTGGGGGGAGATGTGATGGTGTGTGGGGAGTGGGGAGATATGAGGGTGTGTGTAGGGGGTGATGTGAGGGTGTGTCTTGTTTGGGGGAGAATGTGAGTGTATCTGTGTGGTGGGGATGTGAGGTTATGTGTGGGGGTGGGAGTGTGAATGCATGTGTGTGTGGGGGGGATGTGAGTGTTTGTGTGTGGGGGGGAAATATGAGGGTGTATCTTGTTTGACCCTCAACTGTCCTTTCTCCCCCACATCCGTGCCATGACCCACTCTGCCAAAACCCTCATACATGCCTTTATTATATCCAGGCTCGATTATGCCAACTTCCCTCTTATCGTCCTTGCCAACTCTTCCCTCCACAAGCTGCAAATCATCCAGAACTTTGCAGCTCATATCCCCTCCTGCACCAGGCTCCATGACTCCATCATACCCACCCTCGCCAGACTCCACTGGCTTGCCATCACTCAGAGGGTCGAGTTCAAAATTCTCGTCTTCACCTTCAACAACAGCAACAACAAAATCACATTTGTAAAGCGACTTTCATGCCGGGAGGACGTCGCAAATTGCTAAAGGATCGGAGATTAGGACCCGAGTGTGGGGGGGTTGGGGGCAGATTTGGGATGAGGGAGGGCAGAGAGGTAATGTATTCACAAGCCAATGTTGCCTGAGGGAAGAAAAGTGAAAATTAAAGATGTGAAATAGTCGGCATTAAACAGCCTGTAATAACTCATTCAGCAGGTCTTAAAGGAGTGAAGGTGGCTTGCGTACCTGCGTGACATCTGTGAGGAGGAGACAGTTTGGGAAGTGAGGGGAGCTGGAGTAACGAGAGTGGTGGAGAGGGAGTTCTGGAGGAGAGTGTCCAAGGAGGATACGTCATTGCGGGAGGAAGCTCAGAAGGGTCTACTCCTACTTCCCTGTCTACTATAATAATAAGAATCCTTTTGTAACTGATAAATATTTCACACGATTTTCTGGAATGCAATGACTGTGCATTTTGTTGGCATACAAAATCATTGGTTCTATTGTATTGACACTTTAACCATACTTTATAATAATAAATAATAATAATAATAATACATTTTATAATGAATGACACGATTTGATGGTTTGATGTGAACACAATACAAAAAACACAATTTACATTAATATTTAGCACGTTTTACCTGGGCATTACATCACTTAATGCTTGACACTGAGCTGAGCTGAGCATCTGAGCTGGAGAGGGAGTGGTGAAGTGAAAGATGACTGAAAGTGTGATCAATGAGATAGTGTCTTGGGTTTGCTTTGAATACTAGAGAGCAAATCAGATGGATTCCAGGATGGAGTTCCAGAGAGTGAGGTCAGAATGGCTGAAAACCTGACCGCTGATGGTGGGGCAGATAGGGCGGGACATGAAGCAGGTCAGTGTTTGCCAAGCAAAGCGAGATGCCAGTTTGGTAAGGTTCAAGTAAGTCATGGAGATTGACGAGGGATTTAAAGGTAACAACAAGGTTCTTGAATTCAATTTGCTCAGCGCCCTGGAGGAAAAGGCTTTGTGTGAAGCTTGTGAATGAGATTAATCACAATATGAGATTATTATTTTATTTGTCTGATTTACCCAGTCTTTCCTGAAGATCTAGACAATAAAACACAAAACAGTTACAAGCCTATTCCAAATACAGTATTATTTAATTGTCAGTCGATATGTTTACAACACTTACAGTTACACAGCGCCTTTCGCAACAGGAGGTCATCTGGAAGTGCCTGAGCTGGGGGTGGGTGCCGAGGGGGGCGGTGGGGAGGGAGTGGAAAATTGACTGAAAGCACAGTCAAAAAGATAGGTCATGATCGGGGGCAATATAAAGGTGCGGGTGCACATTTTCCGCACTTTCTGCTACAATGACCTGTCCACTACAAACCCGCCATAAATGTAGTTTCTGGCCCACGGGCTGCTCATGCTGTTTACCTGACATCACTGTGGGCAGAGCTGCTCCGGACACGCATATGGAGTGTGGCTCAAGCGGCAAATGGGCTACAGTCGGAGGCCCTGCTGTTCTGATTGTCTCTCTGTGTGTCTCTGTGAGTGTGTCTATGTCACTTAGAGAGCGACCATGTCAGGAGGGTTGAAAGAGGCCACAGAGGGTGTAAGGTGAGGATTTTGAAATCGATCTATTGGGGAATGGGGAGCCAATGGAGCTGAACAAGGATATTAATGATAATAATGCTTGCATTTGATATAGCAGCATTATCACATCATTGAGACGTCTTAAAGAGCTTCACAGGAAGTGGATTGATTTGGGGGGTGATAGGCTTGCGGGGTCTGGTGCGGGAGTGGATTCAGGCTGCAGAGTTCTAGATACAATTACAAAATTTACTTTTGTGAAGCGCCTTTCACATTGGGAGCATGTCCCAAGGCGATGATCAGTCAGGGATTAGGACCCGAATGGTGGGTGGGGTGGGGATTGGGATCAGGAAGGGTGGAGGGCGGAGAGGGTAGGAGGGTGACCGAAGGCATGGTCAAAGGAGGATCTTGAGTTGTGCCTTGAAGGAGGCCAAGGGAGGCAGTGAGGTGAAGAGAATGTGGGAAGGAGTTCCAGAGGGTGGGGGCAGAGAGGCTGAAGGCCCAATGGTGATGATGGCAATATTGGTCAGAGGTGGGAGAAGGCAGAGTGGGTGTGGGAGAGAAAGGACAGTTGAGGGTCGATCAAGACACTAAGGTTCCTGACTGATTTGGTGAGGTGGAGTGTGCATCCTTGGATGCTGCTACTGCCAGTGACTGAGGTGCCTAATCGCTGGTGCGAGCCAACCAGGACAGCCTTGGTCTTGCTGATGTTCAACTGTAGAAAGTTGGCTTTCATCCAGCACTTGATGTCTGTCGGTGGTCAGATTTTAAATTAGATCCTACACCTAACCCTTGAGTGAGCGGAGGTGAGGTTCATGAGTAGGATGTTGTTTCAGGAAGTGACGGGGACAAGGGCATCAAGAATGGTGGAGAGGGAGTTTGGAGGTGAGTGACCGAGAGGATAAGTTGATGCGGGAGGTAGGCCAGAGAGGGAGGAGTTTGGATGACTCCAGGGCAGCAGAGAGGAAGTGGGGGGGGAGATTCTTTTCCAGGGGCAG